TTTTCAGCTGTGCATCATTTGTTCTGATTGGACTAGTTGATGTGTCTTTACTTCATTCATCATAGATGAAGTGGAGGATGCCAGCCACGAATTCAGTAGAAAGATGGCTGGGAAAAAAAAGGTTACAGTAATTCTGGATTTCTTGAGATGTTGTCCAACTTTCTCTCGCTTGCAGATGTTGGGTGCATGAGCATGGATGCGGGTTACGGAGTACACCTCAACCAAGAAATCAATCTCTCCACAGTTATTGGTTATCGGTTATTTGACAGGGAAGAGAAGTAAATCTACAAGGTTTTCTATGCAAGTGAAGTTGAAAAGAACCTTTTGAATTTTGGGTGGTGTGTCTATCTACTTCTGACATCACGGACTGTGTGGCTGAATAAATAAATATATTGGTGATACTGCATAGACAATAATCAAAGGGTTCTTTCAACGCCCCTTCTAACATATGCCTCTCCCCAGATCTCCCATTTTTAATCTCGTAAGCCTTCTCGATCTCCGACCCTTATCCTTATATCTTTCATATCCTACAAGGGGTTGCTACACAGATTTTCTACTATCTACCTAGTACTACATACACATAGAGAATACAGAATACAAAACATCACAGACTAACACAATACCATTAAGATCAAGTTTCCTTACATTTGTTATGCTTCGTTGGCAAATAAAAGTGGAACATATGACATTTCACTCGATTTCTCTCTTTCATCATCTTGTCAATTGGTAAAAAAGATCAGGTTCATTGACCATATCGAAAAACAAACCCAATTGTTTTCGAAGTCTGGATTATGTGACGTCTATCTCAAAGCAAGATCTTCTCTCAAAAATTCGATTTTGACATTATCCAAGCTTGATTCCCCAGTTAAAATCTTAATCCAGGTCCCAGGGTCCACAGAGAGGCTGGGTACCGGACAGGACGATATGCACATTGCACTTCCTATCTAATAGACTACCTAGTCTGTACTATCGACGGTACTAAATCAAGGAAGGTTACGGCGACTCAACATTAGACCAATACGATTGGCTCTGACAAACGAATAACATAAGTTCTCCAGGAAACCAAGGATAAATCCTTGCACATTGAACAAAGTGGTTCTGATGTCCTTGTTGAGCTGAATACCAAGATGTTGATAGATTTTTGATGGAAGCTTTTGAGAGCTTCTATCGATGCAAGTAAAATTTGAATCATTTCAAGTATTCGGCAAGGGAAATGAAGGGGTTGAATTAACAATTCTCGGAACGCAAAATATATCTGGATTCTGTATGATGAAGCAAAAGTTTCTTCATCGTTCATTCAATTTCTAGGTATTGTCATTTCCCCTCAAAATTTCAACCCCCTTCATTTCATCAAATCACCTAATCGCATCACACAAAGCCTCTCGGGCCTCTCGCTTATCACATCAAACCATGAAATATATCCAACTACCACGAAAGTTCAACGCTATTGAATAGCCCTTTACTGGATAAAATTCCTAGCTTCTTGACGGAGTAGAGCCTTCAATTATCTCTCTCCCACTCTTCGTGCCTTGTGGCTGGTAATTAAAAACTTTATCAGAGCTCTTTGATCAATTCTTCAGGTCAACCAGGATCAGTTATTTGGCATTTCTCGATGGTGATTTCGGAAGTGTGAAGCTTATTATATTTCTTTTCTTCCTGCCCCTCCAGTTTCTCATCTTTTCCCCTTGATATTCACATTTTTCCAAATGAGTACAGCCTCATTGAATCCATCTGTCCTTAGACCTTGAACCTAGATAACGGTAACGCTGCGGCAAGTAACCGAAAGGGGGGTTCCCCGAGACATCTCAGCTCGGGTGGTAACCCGAACGTGATCATCACATGTCTTGTGTCCCGTGCACAAAGAAAGAAGCACTTGGGTATTGAGCAAAAATTGAAAATCCCGAGCTCAATTACAACTTTTCACATCATACTTTCATGGTCTCGCTCGGTACATGGGGATATGATATGCTGCTGATCCATTTTATCCGTACCTGTGCTCAAAACGACACTTTGCTATACTTTACTGTTTTAAATTTCGGATGAATTCGACTCGATTCAGTTCTATACCTCAGATGCTAATACACCGCCTTTCTTAGTACAAAGCAATTGATGGATCGCAAAGCGATGTGGCAATTCAAGAATCCATAGGTACCTTCCAACTTCGATCTTTTAGGGCTGCTCGGTCACTGAAGATTTCGATAATGGCAGTGGAGACGTGCAAATACCGGCACCTTCCACCTTCCTTGCCAGCGCGACTGGGCTCAAACAAACTTTTTACAATGTGATCTCTCCGCCATTCTTGCGTCAAAAGTTTTACTTCCATTCCCGCTGCAAAGATTTGATTTTATCCTGTTCACAAAATGATCCCCGACCTTTTCAATCATACTTCATTCGATCAATAAGTGATCCGTGAAGATCCTAGCTATGATCTAGATATGTCATCACATGGACTATTAAATTTTCTGGGTCTTTCTAACCGAAGTTCAAGCTCCAGCTCCATCTAGCCCATTCCAAGCGGAAGTGGATCTATACTTGGTCCGCTCCACCCCTCGCGCTGTCTTCAAAAATTTTGTTTGCCTCATTTTCTTTTTTTCTTCACTGACCTTAGATCTTAGATCTTACGGCCCGTGGGTAGTTTTCATGGATGACAATCGATAGTTGATACCACCCGATCATTCGGGACCAAGAACAATGTCTTATTTTGCTCCACATATCATAGTCTAGAGGCACATGAATGATGATGAAGCTTGAATTATATTCAACACGTCTATCTGAGAGTTCGAGTGTTTGTATTCTCGTGAGAATGAGACTTATAATATTTGAGAATATAAACATGATTTAAAGGCCTTAGTCTCATGCAGAAGTCGGCAAGCTACATGGATGGATGACATTCCCGTAGTCGCAAACAAACACTAAAAATCTCTAATTTATCGACCTCCCTCCCGTCCGAGCTCTACACCAAAGTAGCCAACCGAGTAACGTGGTTTATCAGTGTGCGGGTCATATCAGTGTGTGGGTCACTTTCACCTCAATTCAATCTCTTCTCTTTCAATACGCGTTTTATCAACAATCTACAATGAATTCGAATAACCAAGAAGCCTGTATACTCCTCGTTATCGAAACTATTCAAAAAGACAAAAAAATAAGCATTCGAAAAGTTGCGAAGATATATAATATCTCGAATACAATACTACAGTGTAGAATTAATAGTTTTATTCTTCGCTTCGAATATCGATCTAAATCTTATAATCTTTCAGAACTAGAAGAGAATATCATTTCTGAGTATATACTCGATATGGATATGAGAGGATTTCCACCTAAATTCAGAAATGTAGAAGATATGGTGAATCATATTTTTGAATCGAGGGGTGCAAAGTGTATTGGGAAGCTCTGGGTGTATCGATTTGTAAAGTGTCGAATCGAATTAAAGATGCGTTTTAATTGTATTTATGACTTTCAAAGAGCTCTTTGTGAAGATCCTAAACTTATTGAAGAATGGTTTCGATTGATTTCGAATATGCAAGCGAAATATGGTATTCTCGACAGCGATTTCTATAATTTCGACGAAACAGGCTTTATGATGGGGATTATATATATTGCAATGGTTGTCATTAGTGCTGAGAGATGTGGTAGAAGTAAATCAGTACAATTAGGCAATCGAAAATGGGCTATAGCAATAATATGTGGAAATAGGGAGAATAAAACCATACCCCTATTTCTAATGGTTCAAGGATAGATTCATTTTTCCAATTGGTATACCGAAACCGACTTTCTTGCGGAATAAGCTATTAAATCTATATCTAATGGATAAACAAACAATGAGATAGATTTAAAATAGTTAAAACATTTTGATAAGCATATTAAGAATCGAAGAAAGGGCAAATATCGAATATTAGTACTAGATGAACATGAAAGCCATGAATCAGTACCTTTTCAATTGTATTGCAAAGAGAATGATATTATCTATTTAAAATTATTATTACATTTAAATCATTTAACTCAATTATTTGATATTGGCTGTTTTAGCAGTTTGAAACATTCATATAATATTCAAATTGATGGGTTTATCAAGGTATATATCAATCATATTTCGAAAGTTGAATTCTTTATAACTTTCAAAATTATATACCAAAAATCAATTACGATTCAAAATATGAAATCAGGATTTCGAGAAACAGATTTAATACTATTTAATCCTGAAGCTGTACTTTCGAAACTAGATATTCGAATTCGTACACCTACTCCCCCCTCTTTCGATCAAGATTTATAGACTTCTCAAACCCTTTATAATCCAATTGAAGCTCTTTTACAATCAACTTTAATAAGATTTCGAATGGTTCGTTATCAATCAAGTTCTTCTACATCTATATTCGAAACTATATTAATTTTAGCTAAGGGTACAAAGAGATTAGCATATAAAAATACACTTTTAAATACAGAGATTCGTATACTTCGGACAACAAATGAAGCATTAAGCAAACATCGATGTATAAAAAAAACTCAATTATATTAAGAAGGAATATTTACTAAACAAAAGGCTACCGATATATTATCTCAATAAGAAGTTGATATTCAGATTCAATACGACGAGTATTAAAAAGGGGGGAATTCTAATAGGGAAGTATCTTCTAATCGATGCTATAGTAAGTATAAAAAGACTGGGTATAATACAAGGACTTGTTAAAATAATGTAATAGATCCTAGATTATTAGAATCTTTATAGTTTTAATCAATTGATTTAATTGTTGTTGAATAATATAGATTTGAAAGAGTGAATTGAGGTGAAAGTGACCCACACATTAATATGACCCGCACACTGATAAACCACGTTAAATAAATCCTTCCAAAATTACCTAAGCAGTTCTTTCTATCCCCACCAGATTTTCCACCCCACCAAAAAAATCTTCCTCTCACAAACTCCCCCCCCTCAACACCAGCGCCGAAAAAATATCAAGCACAAGATGACAATGGTGCAAAAACAAACGTCAAAAAGGAATCCATGGCGGTGCTGGGAATCGAACCCAGATTGAAGCGGGATTGTTGAGCTGGTAAAGGCTCATCTTCGTGAAGACCCTTGAGAGGAGAAACCACAACACCACGTGCTACCATTACACCACACCACCTTGTTATTGGATATTTTTGATGAGTCTGGGTCTCGGAATTCAGGTTATATAGAAGTGGTAGAGGGGGTTCATTTGTGTAGGGTGACAGTTAGAGGGGACTTAGTGGAGAGAGGCATTCAAGAGTGGATGAGACGATTAGTTTATGTATAATATCGTCCTCGTCGTTGCCATATATTTCAAACGCCCCTCTCTCCTCCCCATCATCTTCATTATAGTCTTCCTACCCATCATAGTCGTCCTTCCTATTCGGAAGTGTACACTTAAATTCTTACAAGTTGACGATCCCTTCTCGTTGAAACTTTCGCAATCTTCACTCTCAGTTATCCACTCCTCTGCCATGTTCAAGTTCTTTCTGCTTCGCCTCTCTTGCTTCCTCATCGTGTTACACTACGCAAGCTCAAAACTATAGCTATAGCTATCCCAATAGCAACCTCCACATACCTTACCTCGCAGGCGGAATAGCAAAGATCATGATATTCTTTGACATAACGCGGACTCCATTGTGGTGCATTATGCGCAGTGCCTCTCCGAATTCCATCTTATCTTTCCAACCTAGCAGATACAATCTTTGTCCTCCCCATAAAACATCTATACTTAGTATACACATCCTTTTTTCTCACTATCCAACTCAATCCAATTCAACCCTGACCCCCCTATCCACACCTTTCTTTCTTTCCCACCTCTTCACTTACGTTTTTTCATCCTCTCGTTCATTTCAAAAACCATCTCCTATATTCTCATATAAGTCTTTGAGGGTAAAGATATACATTATCCAAGCAAAAAGCTGATAGACTAGACTACCGTAGCACAATTCATATTTGGGAAATATCAAAATATCTCATCCATGCTATGAAGTTATCTAATGACGCTAAGTAGTGTATTATTTTATAAAATTTGAATTTTGCAGGAAATTCGGGGATTTATATTCAAGTAGAAGAGCATGGGGCGCAAGTACTATTAGTCTACCTTCTTGTAACTTATCGTTCTACATATATGAGATGGAACGAATATGATGAAATGTAGAAGTCAAGACAATAATATAACAAAGTTCCTGGGCTGGGCGCGGGATCTATTAGAGACAGGTCTACTGTTTAGATATTCGGTGCATGGTTGGGTTTGGAGACTGAGAGGACTTTGACTCATCTATTTCATTTACTAATCGTGTGTAAGACTTATATTTACATGTACAGTGAATGAAATTGTCGGGCGGGATGAGTATAAAGATGCCGACTCTTGTTTTCTTTCTACCTTTATGTCTTAAGTCTTAAGTCTTAAGTCTTAAGATATATATATCATCACATCTCATATCTGATACATACAATACTATATCATTCACCGACCTCTAGGTACCTTCATAGTTTTGTTCTTTTTTCCTTACATCCCCAATATCTACCATCCTCCAAACCCATTCATGCGCCATAAGAGCGTATGTATCTCTCAGCGTTACTGTTTTTGATGCTCGTTTCTTCTCAGCTGCGGTAGTTACCTGGAGATATTTCTCATGCTGATCGATGTTGACATTGATAAATTTGACCTGGTCCTCTCGATACATATAATAGCAGATTCTATGTAGACCTGTCTGTACTATTGACTCGACCGATCACTTCTGTTCTTCTAACGAAATTGCGGTAACATCCAAATAAACCACTGCGTCGTCGAACTAATCCTTGAAGACCTAACCACCCGCTACGTTCCCTAAGAACGTCCGCGCCATCTTTCGACTTTTGATCCTGTCAGCACGTACTCCCGCACCTCTCCTCAAAGATTCAGAGTATTTCAGCTGTTCGATCTATCTCAAACATTAAAATCCTTCCGAACATCTAACCATTTTCAAGCATTCAGACAATTTCACACATCTCAACCATTTTATACATTCAGATCACACCAAATATTGAGGCCAATTTGGACATTCATATCATTTCCTATTCATATTACACCAAATACTCCCCAAGCATATAAATTTGTGTGCTCAGTATCCCACAACCAATGTTCGACTCTTGAGAACGCACACAGTCTAAAAGTCGACAGTGGACGGTCCTCTTAATTGTAGCTTCTGGCTCCTGGTATACCTGCTAAGATACAGGTTGATTGGGCCAATCTGTCTTGATGCTTATTTTTCCTGGAGCCGAGGTAGATGGTGTCAGCAATTGGTTAAAGGTATCAATTCCCTCGATTATGCCCCGTCGGAGCATGAGTGCCAAGGACCTGAGTGCTAGTGAGAATAAGATGTTATCCACTGACTTTGGTTGTCGAGTGTATTGCTTCAATTTTCTTTTGTTGCCTTTGAGTCCAAAGGTCGCATCAAATGGTTGACCCTTCTTGAGCAATACAAAGTCCGTAGCGAAGTCGAAACACCCAACGTGATCACCCGCACCTGAGATGAGATGTTCGTCAAAGTAAGTCGGATGAAATAGTAGAAAAGAGGATATACCTTGTCACCAAAAACTTGGATTATTGTGATGTCCCTCCATCTTAGATATTCACCAAGGCCTATCTGGCAATTGTGCCATTGAGCATCGTCTAACTCCATTAACGCAACTAAGGATCCATGCAAGCTCATGCTGCTGTGAGAACAGAGAAGGCGATGCATGGTCCATCTCCCAATCGAGCAACTGGCGTCACCCGAAGTATGAATTCGCGTTTTTCTACCTTGGTGTAGGGATCCCTCCCAAAATTCTTTCACGGCTGCATGAACCCCTTTTGTGACCTCCATCTCCATTTTGAAAGCCCAACAAGGATTGTCCGCGCAACGCTTCACGATAGCGAACTTTAACAATTTTGCGTGACGATATGTCGCAGAACCGATTTGTGGTCTTGAGTCTTCTAATCCATCCATCATAGCCTTTTGCATCCATCTACCGATCGCGAAGATAATATCCTTGATTATAATGTCCTGAGGTTAATTGAAAAGGATTTCGTCATGTGTGCCTTTCATGAAATCATTTAAATTATCACCTGGTATCTGTCTATTCGTCCGTTGTTACCGAACTCCCATAGTAGCGCGAAACTCTTTAAGTATAGCATCTTCTCGATCGTCGGATCATTGCCGCAGCTCCTTAATCATAATCAGATCATATTTTGATTGAGAAAAACTATACAAAACTTAAGACTTACCTATGCAATGAGCTTCTCCATCAGCAATAGCATTGAGTTTATCAAATAAAGCTTCATCCTCTGCAGTAAGGTGTTTAATTTCATACAGGATATCCTCATTTCAATCGTCTATCATCAATCTATTATGCTATTGATCTTCTCAATGGTGGCAAAGATTGAGGAGGGATTGGGGGGGAGGGTGCATGGCATCTTGAAATGTGTTGGAGATATACGACCCCGATTACTAAGAGAAGGATTGTTTGAAAGACTGGTGATGTTGCAAGATGTGAAAATGCGAAGAGGAAGAAAGTACCCACAGTTTAAATATAGGTTTTTGCAAGGAAGAATAGAACTTATATTCCAGAATATGTAAATGATACCTAGGTTTCCTAAATTTCAAACCACTGGTACTGTAACATAAAAGAGTATCGGAAGAAGGGAATAGAACTCATATTCCAGAATGTAGAGACGAAAACTCATGATTGTTAGAATACATAGGCTTCAAGCTTCCAATGTCCTACGGTACTAGCCTTCAAATCCCAGACATCTAATAATATGGCGGAAGGGAAAGGGGAATAGAACACCTAGTCTTGAAGCTTCCACTGTCCTCACAGTAGATACCCTAACCTCAAAACCCCAAACATTTAATGAGGGCAAGGGAAATAGGAGAATAATGAAATGAAATGAACAAGAATAAACGAGAGGAGGGAGAAAGGGAAGCAGCAGAAGGAAGAATAAGATAGCTGTGGATATACATCAGAAGGAGGAAAGGGGAAAGGAAATTATGAGAAGGAAAAAGATCAACGGTGGTGGGTACCCCTCAGAGTGGAAAAGAGGATGAAGAAGTAGTGAAGGTGGGAAAGACAATAGAAGATAAAAGCTAGACGCAGGTGTGTATTCTTAAGGGGAAGGAAGGGGCGAAGGGAACTAGAAGAGGGGAAAGGATGAACGGTGGTGAGTATCCTTCAGAGAGGAAAGGGGGATGATGAGGTAAGATCTTACAGCGGACGGGATATCATAGGGATACATATCCACGGAAATATCGAGGCATATTTGTAACCTAGTAGTAAAAACGAGTGGGTAATATTCTAGGAAGCAAAAATGATTGATAAGACACATAGAAACCATTTGATGAGGCTTTTAACATAACCTTTTGCTAAACACGGAGATGTTCAATCTTGCGAACCGCCAACTTCACAGTGTGTCAAGACAAGGACAAGGTAGGCCATTCAAGCGAATTTTCGGCAGAATGATTCAGAGCTCGGGTCATTAATGGCGGCATTTTCAGCTTCGATGCTAGAACTTAAGGGAAGATATCAAAAAGCCTAAAGTTGCGGAAGGCTAGTGGTATTGAGTGGAGAAATGATACCAACTGATCTGCCTTTTGGAGAAAAAAGAAATCAATTGTCACGCTCCCATACCTCATCCAAATTACTCAATAAAACCATTCATACATTCATACATATCTACTCGTCTAGGCCCCCTTCATTGTTTAATGCTCACTCCAACATTTAGCCCACTCGTCTTATATATATACTTGTCTCAACCCCTTTTCAAGACCACTATACTGTCATTGATTGATATTCCTGATTTCTCAGCCTATAGTCGGACATGGAACTTCCATTACTTCATATTCTTTTGAACAATCCACCGCTCGCCTAATGTCTTACTCTCCTCCTCCCCTCCCCTCCCCTCCCCTAAAAGTTTACAATAGTTTCAAACTCATTGGCTATCTAAAGACCTTCAACCAGATAAAACGGACTTTATTATCAAGATTGCATTTGGCAAGCTAACAAAATATCATCGCTCGGAGTGAGAAGGTGAATTAGAATTAGATTAAACTGGAAACCTGTTTCATCCGAGTAGTTTGACTAGAGGTCTGCCGCAGCTAATCGCAGTTGAATGAG